TTATTTTTTTCTTTTTCTGCTTTCAGTATTCTCTCTTTGTTCTGTACATTTAGTGTTTTTACTATGATATGCTGTGGGGAGTTTCTTTTCTTGTCCTGTCTATTTGATGTTCTATGTGCTTCCTGTATTTGTATGGGGATGTCTTTCCTTTATTTTGGGAATTTCTCTTCCATAGTCCTGTTTAAGATCTGGTCAATACCATTAACCTGAGATTCTTATCTTTCCTCTATGCCTATGATATGTAGATTTTAACTTTTCATGGTGTCCTACATCTCCTGCATAGTCCTGTGTTTTTTAAAAATTTCCATAGTCTTTGCTTGAGTGGTCCAATTCTTCAACTTTATCCTCCAGTGTTGATATTCTCTTTTCCATTTCATTCAGTCTAGAGATGAGGCTTTCCCCTGTTGTTTAAAGTTGGATTACTGAGGTTTTCACTTCCTTCTTCATTTCAGCCTGAGTTTTCTTCAATGTTTCTATCTCTTGTGAATTCATTCAGAAGTTTATTCCTATCTTCTTTTAGTTCTTTGATTTGTTTGTTCGTGTGCTTTAAATTTGTTGAATCCCTTGATCATTTTTATGGCTTTCTTTTTAAATTCTGTGTCCTGGGTTATCTCTAGGGGGTTCTCCATGTAGAACTGTTCTATGGGACTGGTGAAGTTTGGTGGGGACATGTTTTGGCTTTCCATTTGATTATTTTTTCATTGTGGTTTTGACATGTGAATTTCTCCTGTTGTTTGTGATTCTGGTATGAAAATCAAGTCTTCTTTTGTTTAGTTGAGTTTTGCTTCTGTTTGTACTATTCTGTGCCTTAGTTATTTTCTTATTGGATTTGTAAGAGCTGGTTGGTCTAGGTTTCAGGTTCTCTCAGCTTTTATTTTGGAGGGAACTGGTGGCTTTAAATCAGCTACTCAGGAGTTCCCACAGAAGTCCAAGTCAGGCTCCAGTCAGGTACACTCAGGCTTCCTTCTAAAGTTTGGACCCCTACTAGCAAGTACTCAAAGCACAATTTGGGAAGTTCCTGAAGGGGAGGCCGATTTTGGAACTTTTGGATAGTCTGCTGAGTTATCAGTCCCTACATTAGGCAGAGGTCAGATCAGATGTTCTTAGGACTTCTGCTGAGTTCTCAGTGTCTAAGCCAGATGGAGGCCAGAACAGCCACTCTCAGGCTGTCTGCTAAGGTCTGAGACTTACCCTACTAGAGGGCAGAGGTCTGCCCTGGTGCAGTGGGAGGGGCCTCAAGTAATCCCAATTGGGGGCTGGGATAGTGTGGCTTGGGGGAGCTCACCACCATGTGTTGGCTGGATCCAGGTGCTCTCAGGCAGTCTGGTGGGTTCTCAGCATCTAAGCCAGATGGAGGCCAGAATAGCCACTCTCAGGCTGTTTGCTAAGGTCTTGATAATTCTGTTTTTCTTGTTGCCCAAGCTTGGTTGACTTGATTTTTTCTCCTCCTTTTATTTATTTTTTTTAATTTTTAAATTTTTATTTATTTTTATTTTATGTGCATGAGTGTTATGCCTGCATGTATGTAAGTGCACCTGTGCCATACAACGCCCTCAGAGATCAGAAGCGGGCATCAGATCCCCTGGAACTGGAGTTATGGACAGTTGTTAGGTGCCATGTGGGTGCTGGGATTTGAACCCGGGTCCTCTGCAAGAGCATTCAGTGCTCTTAACTGCTGAGCCATTTCTCCAGCCCCTTCTACTCTTCTTAAAAAATTAAAAAGAATATTTAATTTATTATTGGGGGTGCATGCCAAGGCACATGTGTGGAAGTCAGATGATAACTCTCCTTTCACTGTGGGTTCCAGGTATTGAACTCAGGTCATCAGGCTTGTGCAAGAAGCACTTTTACTGAGTCATTTTGTTGGCCCCTTCTTTTCTTTTGCTTTTTTGTTTTGGGGTAAAGTTTTGCTACATAGGTAGGCTGATCTCAAAGATGTGGTCCCGCTGTCTCAGCTTCCTTAGTGCTAGGATTTGAGGCATGTGACACTACACCTGCCTTGGTCTTAATTTTGTTAGTCTTTCCTATAGTTTTTTAAAATTTATCGATTTTTTTGGGTATTTTTCATACAGAAAATCATCTTTATACACCCTTCTCCTTTGGAACCCTCCCATTGTCCCCCCACCAGAGTTCATACTTTCTGTCATTTGTGTTAAGGCCTATCATGTATGTTAGTGTCCCCACATGTTCCTCAGTGCAAATTCGTTCACTAGGATCTAGTCAGTCTATCTAGAGTCCTTCCCTTTAAAAAGATAAGCTCATTCTCACCCAGGAATAATTAGCTGCCAATAATTCTTCGACTAAAATTTGGGCCTGTTTTTCATTTCCACAGCTCTGTGCTGGGTTTTTGTCTGCTTAAGTTTGCAAGGGTCTTCTGTATGCTGACACCATTGCTATAGTTTCACATGAGAAGAGTCCCAGGAGCCTGTAGGACTATTTCTGTATGGTCATACACCTCCTCCCTGGCTCTTACTGTATTTCCACACCTGGAAATATACAGATCTTCTGCAATGATCCCTGAGCCCTGGGAGGGTGGATTTTAATATAGGAGCCCTGTCCAAGAACCCACACTTGCTTGGTTAATTTTAAATTAGGTATGAAGAGTTAGTAGGTCTGTCCTTTAGATGCTCAGTGTTGATTTTTTATTAGAGTGACGGGGTAATTCCAATTCAACAGGAACCAAGAAAGCATTCAAATGTGACTCTAGGCCGGACCTGTTTGAGCTGGAGCACAGGCTGCGGTGGCCCTAGCTAGGCCTGGAAGTGTGGGGATGGTGGCAAGGTTGGGCTAAGATCCAGGGAATCACGGGGTTGGGGTCTCTAAATCTCTCTACTCTAGTATCTGGATCTGTGTATCTATTAATTTATATGCTGTTATATCTTATTATTTTCACATTTAGCATTGTATTTGTTCCTGAGTCATCTTGTTTTTCTCTCTGCCTTTTTGTGAAGAGACAGTAACTCAAAATCATGGGAACACAAGAAACCATATGTTTCTCTAGGTTTATGTCTCTGATACTGTCACTCTGATACTTGTTCTCTTTATGTTTTTGTGTCCATATGTCCATGTTTCCTTTTTGTTGTTGCTATTGTTGTTTGAGACAGGATCTTGCTTTGTAGCTCAGGCTGGCCTCAAACTCATTTTGTAGCTCAGGCTCACCTTGAACTTGCCACAAACTTTCCTGCCTTAGCTTTCTAAGTACTGAACTTACAGGCATATGGCACCATGCCCAGATGTTCATATTTCTTTGTTCTGAGTTCCATGTACTCTCTACTGCCATGCTTCTGTCCCTGTATTTTCATGTCTGTGTCTTTGTCACTGTCTTTCTGCATGTGACCTACATCTTGGATTGTGAGTTTGTATATATGTTATCTACTGCTATTTCGTGGTTATTTTTGTTCATTCATTTATTCAAAATGTTTACTAAGAACTTTCTGTATGCTATGCATTAGGGCTACACAGAGGATTCAGAAAAGATTCTTGCCCTTAAATAGCTGCAGTCTTAGCCTGGGATCCAGATGAGTAAGTAGATGATTATTACAGAGAATAAAAAGTACTGTGAGCTTGGAGGTGAATAAAGGGAGGGGCCAAACTCAACCTTACTGGAGGGGCCAGGGAATAACTCTTAGGAAATATGTCAACTAAGACTTAAGGAATGAATTAAATTTACCTAGATAAAGCAATGCTCCATGCAGAAAGGAGAACTCATGCACAAGTTCAGTGGTGGGAAAGAACATAGCTTATTAGAGAAATTTCAAGATCCACAAATAACACCATGGGAGCCAGGGAAAGTTGTGAACAGGACTGGTGATCCACTCAGCTTTTGTTTTAAGAAAGTCACTTCTCTCTGGGGGGCTAGGAAAAAAGGACGTGAAGTTGAGAGGTAGGATGTAGGGAGTCTGAGAGGAATTAGAGGGGGAATGGGGGCTTCATATGATCAAAATACACTGTATTCATGTACAAAATTCTCAAAGAATGAGTAAAAAATAAAAAGAAAGTCACTTCTAGGGCTGGTATGGCCTCTGAATCATATAAATTGAGGCCTTCTGGCTCTGGGTTCAGGAACCATCACAGAACATAGGCAAGGTAGGGCTGACCCAGAAACTGCCCTGTAGAAGAATGCTTACCTGCCAGAATGAAGTCCAGCAGGGCAGCAGCCTTGGTGACTCCTTCAGCAGTCTCTGGCCTAGCACCACAGGCACACCTGGGCCATGGTGTTTCGGTAAATAAGGTCCTGTTATCAGCCAGATGTCTGTGTGCTGGAACTGCCCTGAGGGAGAGAGATGCAGCACCAGTTAAAACTCTGGGAGGGGCTGAAAACAGGAAGTCTAGAAGGAAAAGTGGAAGGGTATTAAAGGCCTAGAGGAAGGAAGAGCCTGGACATTGCGCAAATCACGAAGAGTCAAGGGGTGTGATGTAGAAGTGGAGACAAGAAAGGAGGCGAACAGTCAGGCTTGGAGTAGACAGGGAAAACTGGAGGGAAGAAGAAGCTCAAGGAGCCCAGAGAGGGTAAAGATACGTGTTTAATCCACCATCACTGCCCAAACTCCTTGGGATGGGCCTCTGCTTTAGATTCTGCCAGTGTCTTCTTACCTACAGTCTGGCTACCTTCAGTCCCCTTTCACAAAAGGATAAATATTCAGAGGGCGGTTTATAATACCAAGACCTAACTGTGTCTTTTCATGGCTCCCTTAGTGCCTTCAAGATAAAGCTAAATTTCTCATCTTGACATTCAGCTTGATAATACCTCTTATCTCCATTCCTTTCTTCCATACTCTTACTTAGCCGTCTACTTGCAGTTCTCTTCCCTCCTCTGGGAGGTCTTTCTTGAATTCTGAGGCTGGGTAAGATGTCCCACCATGGGCTCCTCTAGCTTTCTGCCTTGTACTCATTCCTCCCTGGAACCACTACCCATGTCTGGCTATTTCCTTTTCCCAAACCAGGGGTTCCCTAAAGGCAGAGTTTGGCATTAATTTCTTTTTGTAGTTGGGGGTACTGAGAGTTAGGGGACCACTAGCCTTTCATTCTGAAAAAGGTTTCTGGGCTGAAGAGATTGCTCAGTGGTTAAGCACCTGCTGATTTTACAGAAGACCCAGATTCAGTTTCCAGCACCCACACAGTGGCTCACAACTCTGTAACTCCAATTTCAGGGCATCCAATGCCCTCTTCTGGCCTCCATGAGCACCAGCACACATGTAATACACAAATATACATGCAGGCTAAACATTCATATGCATAAAAATAAAGAGAGAGCAAGAGAGCGAGAGAGAGAGAGAGAGAGAGAGAGAGAGAGATAAAGGTTTCTGTTGGGATTGGTACTCTCTGGCTCTTCTCAGCCTGAACAGCACTTACCCATCAGGCCAAGGCCTAAGGAACTGAGGCGTGAGGCATTGGCCACATAAAACGCCAAGTGGGGTTAGCTGTAGTATGCTGGGATGTCTGTAGTGGTGCCGAAGGATGAGGAACTCAAGATTAGGCCCAGGATGGAGGGTGAGATGGGCTGCAGAAGCCACATGGAGCTCCAGCTGGGACTTCTTTACCAGGGCAGGTTGGTCCCAGGATAAGTGCAAGGTGCCCTCTGCTCACACAGATATGGAACTGCAGCTGACTGGAACACTGTAGGCCCGGGGTTTATCTGAAATTACTGTGATGATTTGGAAATATGTACAGGTCTGGTCCTCATGGCCTGGTTTTGGTGGTGCCCCAAGCAGCTGCCCACTCACATGCAGCCCTATAAAGGGGAAATGCAGGCCTAGAGTACAGGCTTTCACAGAAGCATGCACATGGTCACCCACAGCACAGGTAGTAATGAAGTCTTAGGTCATGGCATCCAGATGATATAATACGGATTTGTGACTAGAGTGCTAGCTCTTCAGTGGAAATGCTTGTACAGTGATCCACCCTGAGTCATGTGTAAGCTGGGTGTGCTGGATAGCTTCAGTGTCAACTTGACACACTTGGGTTGAGGGAGCCTCAATTGGGGAATTGCCTCCATTGGACTGGCCTATGGCCATGTCTGTGGGGCATTTCCTTGATTGTTGAGTGATGTGGGAGGGCCCAGCCCACTGTGGGTAGTACCACCCCTGGGCAGGTGGGCCTGTGTTGGATAAGAGAGCAAGCTGAGCAGGGGCCAGGAGAGCAAGTCAGTAAGCAGAGTTCCTCCATGGCCTGTGCTCCAGCTCCTGCTTCCAGGTTCCTGCCCTGAGTTCCTACCTTGGGCTCCCTGATGAACTGTGACCTGGGAGATGTAAGATGAATAAACCCTTTCCTCCCCAAGTTGGTATTGGTCAGAGTATTTTGTCACAGCAATGAAGAACAAACTATAAGACTGGGGAAGGGGGATATGTAGAACACATACCAATTCTATTGTGGTGATTTGCATATATATGTGAAATTTTGCCTCTTGGTATATAAACCTGTGTGTTTGGTTATATTCAGATAAGTATCTCCGGGCATATCAGTGCATCTACATATTTGAGGAACATGGCAGTGTGTATTTTTGGTTGTGTGATTATATGTGTCTCTGGATATTTGGTATTTTATGTCTTGGTGCAACAGTGTATATTTTCTATGTCTGATTGCTTGTGGGATGTACTGACATAACCAGGGTGTCAGTATACATGCTGTATACATGCAGCATAGATGTGTATCAGTGTGTGTCTTGCTGTGCATTTCTGTGCACCAGCGTATTTCATATGTGTCTAGTGTAGTAGAGAATATATGCTACTTTTGTGTGCTCAATTCCTGGGAATTGAGATGAATCTGGGAGCATCAGGACATAAGTATCTGAATATGCTGATATGCATATGCTTCTGTGTGATTATATACTTGCATGTTTATGTTGAAATAATTTACCATATTCCCTGGTGTGTATCTCTGTCTTGGTGTTTATTATCATGGTTGTTCTTGTGTATATTAATAAGGTGCTAAATGTCTGGGGATGTTGACAGGAGAACATCTAGCTGTGTGGTGCTGTATGGGGCTAGAGTCCTTGGGGTTCTTACCTATCTTTGGGTCCTCTATGAGCTGCATCAGGTCCTCTGGGTGCCCATCCAGTGTGAAATATATCTTGTCTTCTGAACATATAATGTGGGCACAAAGTGGGGGTCTCCATCTGCTGTAAGGCAGGAGATGCAACTCTAAAGCTATGACTTGAAGAAATGGGAAGAAGGAGAGATAAAGAAGATGAGGGGAGTAGAAGAGGCCATGTCTATTTTCTCAGAGATAGAGAGGCCAGTGTCAGTCCCAGTGTACAAACTGTCCTGCACTCAGGCAGGAGGGCATGGAGGTAACTGGTTTACCAGAGGATGAGAAGGTAAAGACACCTGGCAGTGTGCCTGCAAAAGAGAGAGGATGGTACATTGTTAAGGGACTGATCCAACACATTCATAAAAACCCTTGAACCCTCTGGTTTGTGAATCACCATCTCCTAGGTACAGGCCAAATTCTTCAGCTCAGATTTTTAAACTTTTCAAAAAAAGGCCCTACCTAATTCTCCATTTTTTTCTTTATGCTCCATCCCAGTCAACTTAACAAATTGTTATCTTTTGGTTTTTTTTTTTAAGTCCAGGTCTCATTGTGTAGCCCAAGCTGGTCTTGAACTCTTGATCCTCCTTCCCTCAGCCTCCAGAGTGCTGGGATTGCATATGATCATCACACCTGGTCCAGAAATGTCTGTTCTTATGAGCACCTGACTTCTCTTGCTACTTCCTGTTTTTCTTGCCACTTGGAATGTTTTCCTTTTCTTACCAAAGGTCAATTTCTAGTTATCCTCGAAGTCAGATCAAGTGAGGGGCTAATGGATTATTGAGTGACTTATAAAAGCCACCTCTCTCTCTGGCTAGCTTGCTCTGTGCTGTTATGTGATGACTTGCATTGCTTTGGGACTCTGCAGAGTTCTTAAAATCAAAGAGACTCTCAGCAGATGTAGTCTTTCAACTTTGGACTTCCCAGATTTCCATCTCAGAACTGTGAGATGAATAAACAGTTCTTTTTTGTCTATTACCCACTTTGTAGACTTCAGTTACAGCAATACAAAATGGATGAAAGGAATGAGTGATATTTTAAACTACTAAATTTGTGGTACTTCATTAAATGGTAATAGAAAACTAATATATTATTCCTCTTCTGGGTTCGCATAACGTCAATGAGAATACTAATTGAGTGAAAATGAGGATTTAGGGGAACCTTTGCCAATACTTTCTTGTTTACCTTTTACTAGCTACATAGAACTTCCCTGGGATTCCATTTTGCCTTCAGGTTCTCCCAGGATCTCCTCAGAATCATCATCCCAAAGTAGACTTCCTACCAAACACAAAAGAAGGAATCCTTTACATTCCTAGGGCAAAAATAAGACAGGTTCTTACTTTGTAGTCCAGGCTGGTTTCCAACTACTGATCCTCTGCCTCAGCCTCCCAAGTGCTGGGATTATATTGGTACCTCCATGCCTGGCACTTGAGTGAAAATTGGGGAGGGTTCAATGGGATGAGCAGGGAAGAGATCAGTGGGGCTAGAGTTAAGAAAATGAATGGGAGAAATGAGAGAAGGTTACATCAGAGTGGTATCGGTGTGGGGAGCACATCATGCAGGGCTTTTAGGCTATGAAGATGACTTTGGGCTTTATTCCAAGTGTGATGGGAAATCCCTGAGGAACATTGTGTAGCGAAGGGACATGAATGTATTTGTTTCTTTGAAAGATCTCTTGCCTGTAGCAGGGCAGGAGAGCTGACAGGGAGATCAGTGAGGAGGCAGAAACAGTTTTTTTTAATGAAATGGCAGTGGTGATAGTGACAGTGGAGTCGTGAGAATTCAGTGGATTTGGGAAATATATTAGAGGTAACATTGCCAGGTTGCAAAGATGGATGGAATATTGGGGGGATGTGAGGGAGAAGGTATGCCAAGAATGTTGACCAAATTTGCATTCTTGTGGATTATTGCTATCCTCGACTCTTTCTAATCCTGCACAGTGCACAGTGAAGTCACTGAGGAAATGTTGCTCCTTCTTCTTCTTTTTTTTTTGCATCTCCTTCAAAATTGGCTGTAAATTTTTAGGTTTACAATTGAATTAATACAGTTATACAATATTGTACTCAGTATAAACCCTATAAGACATAAAATTAAATGAGGTTT